ATCGACAAGTCGTGAAACGAATATTAGAAAGAGAAGAGTCAGTTTTGTTTTTACACAAAGTTGATATTTGAATTTTGAGTTAAGTATACTCTCACTTTTCAATAAACTTAGATGTGTATTAGGCATGTATCAATACCGAAACTTTTGGGTTTTGGACCCTCCTCTTGAATTAGGCTATAAAGTAATTCAATTCGCTTATCATGCTTTATACATTATAACCAGGAAAGAGAAAGTGTCATTTTCCTGGAACTAGTTGCTGATTAAGCAGTGCTTGAGGAGGGCATAAGAAGACCAAAACCTAAATCCTCAAACCAAAACTATTCAAATCTCAAATGTGTTGGCTTTTCGTTTCGGTATTGGCACATGCCTAGTGTGCATTATGAATGATTAAAAATATGAGAATACTATATTCTCTTTTACTAATCTTCGCAAAGATAATTACTTGCATTTGTTAAGATTTGAGAAAAGAAATATTTGAGAGTTACGAATCATTTTTAGCTGAGATTATTGTTTCTCATATCTAATTCATGACATAGGTCCACATTTGAATGAAATACCCTTTATAAAATAGTTTGTCGGTATCTAAGAAATAAAATTCATGTTCACAGTAATGATGGATTTGGCAAGAATATGTATCCGAGCACATAATGATCTTTGATAGACACAGAATCTATATTAACAGTGAGCGGGATTCGAATATAGAGGTTTAATATTCGTCGTTAAAATCAATATCATTCAACTACTTTTGGGTATTTGTAAAAGACACGATCACCCACAAAATGGGGAGATGATACCATGAGCAGATAGAGCTCGACGAGCTGATTCTACGAACATTCACGATCACCCAGAATGGTTGAAAATAAAAGTAATTTCCAATGCATACTGTTTTTTCCAATCTACGATCACTCATATCTTTTAACAGCAAGTAGCCCTATACTCGAGCGAGGTACATGCCCAAAATTTCAGACTTTCAATCGGCATCATAGTTTTTTTGAGACCACAAAATATCACCCTTTGACCTATACGGACCATATGTATGATTTTTCATTATTTTGTGGTATTGACTTTTTTTTGTAACTATAAACTATAATTGAAAATTTATATATATATGTGTATAGCACTAAGTTAGTA